TGATATTTTAAACGAAGAATTTTATTATTGTGTATAATAATAATAATTAAAAATATAATAAAAAAAATCTTATTGCGATTTCACAGCGAATATACAGGCTTAACGAAAAAGATAGATTTATTATTAACTAGCGGCCCGCCCTCGCTTCGCTACGGTATAGAGCTGAAGTGTAGACTACAGTTTTTATTCTCAGGCTTGTATTATACACAATGACATTCATCTATGATTCTTCTTATACCTGCATGCAAAGTCTCAGCCCGATCGGTTTAAAATTGACAAAGTTTCATACAAACTTTCATTTCCTATTTTATCCCTTTGGGGGTAGAATTGATCCAAATCCTTTAGCGGATGCCTACGTCATAACATCTACCTGCATGCCAAATTTCAGCCCGATCCGTCCAGTGGTTTGGGCTGTGCGTTGATAGATCACTATGTCAGTCAGTCACCTTTGAGTTATATATATATATAGATTCATATTCAATACGTATACAAACATGTACACTAACATTTCCGTTTTTTTCCTAGCTGTGTCGTCCTAATTCGAACGTTATTTCTATATACCATTTAATTGTGTTGGATATCATAAAAGTTGGCTGAATATAAGAACATCATAAAATACGCCACGAAAGCCACTGATGGGTGACGAGAGGAAAATTATGGGGCCCACGGCTGCGACTATGTAATTGCCTGTCTAGTACATAAACTTTCATTGTGGGAACACAGCACATGCTACAACCAACCTCAAGGTTTCAATATAAAAATTTAAACGAAATTCAACTCTAACTTCAGTTCTTTAAAGCCGATATCGACAAGACAGTATAGATTTTTTCTTACATACATATTTCAACCAACCATGTCATTTATTTGTGTTTCAGCCAATGAATATTTGAAAGGCCGCTTGTAGGTATTCTCGGCGATTGAGACACGTTGGATAGTTATTTATTTAATTTAACATGGAATCATGGATGATACCTATATGTAGGTTACGGAATTGTCTTTTTATTATTCTAATGTGTTTAAAGTAGGTTAGATAAAAGATTTGAGAATTTAATTATGAAACGGGTTCAAAGTATTGGATACGAATGCGAAATGTCGTCGTCCATTATGTGGAAGAACGTTGACTTCTAATTTGTGTAGTGTGTGACATGACAAATAATTCTTAGAACAAGTCCGAATACCTTTATTGATTGATAAGCCATGACAGTATCTATGTTACACTTGTATTAATGTTATACTTTTCTACTTTTCTCGGCAGTCCCCTCTTTCCCAGTGGGCACTTTGGGCAAGTGCCCAGGGCCCCGCGATCGATAAGGGCCCCCCTCAGATCAAATACAAAGTCCCTATTTCCTGTCAGATCATCAAACGATAACCAATATTTATTACCAAAAAACTTATACAATTCGAAGAAATCGAACCTAAGTAACTGACTACAATACCAACTTACTAGATTTTACATGCGCGAAGCTATTTAGCCTAAAAATTGGATTTCCGACTTCAGCATGCTTAGATAAATTCAAATATATAATGGTGTCGATTCTGGCATGGTTCTCCAAACCTAAACTTAAATTTGACAACAGTGTATCCTTGTCTCTACATAGAATGAAAGGGAGAGACTGATGTTAAATTTAGTTTTAAGTTTAGAGAATCATGCCAAAATTGACACCACTGGTATACTAAATTTAAACTATTAATATTAAACTATTTTAAAGAAAAATCATCAGTACTACACTCGTCAGTGTGACTCGCTCCATTTCAAGGCACAATCTGCATCATAGTCATAGGGGCTTCATTATCCTAATATGCCCAGGGCCTCCAATAGGTTAAAGACGGCCTTGTTTCTAGGCTTGTGCTATTAGCCAACTTTTATCTGTTTCGCTTAGCTTCATATTTACAATTCCAAAATTGGTGATTTTTTATATCCTTATCTGTACATCTGTATAATCGCGTCTTAATAAAATTATCGTGTCTTTTCTTATATCAGCGTATTCGTATGCTTTTGTGTCTAACACCAACAAATATGTATCGAGGTGAGAGGCTGGTGTACGTACAAGCAAATAACATAGAAAGAAGGCCTTGTGTGCGGGGCAGGCACGTCACAGTTGTGTGTGAGCAAATGCTCATAACTTCACCAAAACTTAGTTCTGATTGCGTCGTTGCTCTCGGGTGTGATGGTTTTATGTCGCGTCATTTGATTGGCTATTATCTTTATAGCTATTAACGGGATTGTTACCATGTACCTTGTTTTTTATGAGTCTCCGATATTTCGGCACTGTTGCAAGCGCCATGATCACGGAGTAGCACAGTTACATAGTTACTCCGTGATCATGGCGCTTGCAACAGTGCCGAAATATTGGAGACTCATAAAAAACAAGGTACATGGGTTACCATGTGTTAATAGCTATAATGTTATCCCGTTAATAGCTATAATGTTAGTGACCATGAAAGGAGATTGCTCAAATTGGCCCAAATGTACAAATAATATTGACATATACGGTAATTCTTGGCGTAATTTATACTTTATTTTACAGTCATTAGATTTAAACGGACACCTTTGTATAATATATTCATTTTAAAAAGGACTTTTAATTTTACCGGTTTGAAAAACATACGAATCATTTTTAATGGCTATGGGTGTAATAACATTCAGCCAAAGACTGATCGAAGTTGTTTATATACCATCAAAACAAATAACACACAGTTTCTGTCACAGAGTACCTTATTATAACCGGAAATGCATAGATGATACCTGATTTTAAAAGTTAGGCAACTTTCTATTAATCTTCATGTTTTATATACCTGAACCTAATACATAATTTCGGTACTTGGTTTGATTTCCCTAGTTTGCTATATAGCTTATTTGTTTTTTATTATTTTAATACCTATGTACCTATTTGCAAACATAACCTCAAAATCATTCAGTGTATATGGTTTGTAGAAATTCTCAGGGGTGTCCGTCAATAATATTCGTTTCTACAGTAATTTATATATAATTTCGAATCTAGGAAACAATTTTTCATGATTATTGGGCTTTAGGCCAAACATGTATGGAAGCTGAGCAATCTCCTTTAAAACAATATATGGCTATTATCTATTAGTTGGAAGTATAGTGGGGGCGAGCCGGCGGCATCGGTTCCCGTACAAACGGTCTTCTAACCTTTTTCTGTGTCCTGTGCGTCAGCTTAATACGGTCAACAGTTTCTCACGGCTGATTCGGTATCCTAATCAGGAATTCAGATTCGGAATTTCGTGAGACTAGCGCAGACGTTCCTTTTTAAGGTTCGTCCCCCCCTCACTGCGCCTCTCCCGACGACACGGCCGAGCACACGCTGATCGTGTGCCCAGCCTGGCAAAACGAGCGCCGCACTCTGATTGCGGCGCTCGGCGGTGGAAACCTCTCGTTGCCAAGCATGGTTAGAGTCATGCTTGGTAGCGAGTGAGCTTGGAAGACTGCCGCCTCCTTCTGCGAATCGGTGATGACGCAGAAGGAGGCCGCGGAGAGGGAGCGGGAGGAGGACGCTCTAACCGCTCCCCTCCGACGTAGACGGGTGGGCCGAAGAAAGCAGGCAGCCGTGACTGCCGGTCTTCGTCCGCCCCAAGGTGGTCTGGGCGCGGTGCCCTTGGTGCCATTAAACTATTGGCTTGAAAAACCTGAAAAAGTATATGATAATAGTCCTTTTCATGAACTTTCAAGGATAATTATAACAGTTAAAATAGTTACGTTACTTATAATTTTAATTTTTTAGATTTGTGAGTTTAAAAGTCTGTCGTTTAACTTATGTATTAGAAAATTTCTGACCTAATAAAAAATCCTTAGAATATATCATTTAAAGTGACTTAGACGAAATTAAAAAATATAGACTCTTTCCAAAATAAATTGTCGTGACGACGAGCTAAGGAACCCTACACTGCGAGTGACACGACACGCATTTGGCCGATTTTTTATTATGTACTTAACGAACAGACGGTTACGTTTTTTCCATTCTGAAAAAATAAGAATAGTGTGCATCTTGTCAAATATTTTGTATGTAAGGACGTGCATTAAGGTCTCTGAATCTTAATTCATGATCAGGAAACCGTACATATGCTCCCAGCCTTAAGAGCGTACTCCTTCCTTAAAGGCCGGCATCGCATTTGTGATACTTCTGGTGTTGTCGACGGTGATCACTTACCATCAGGTGAGCCGTCTACTCGTATGCCCCCTATAACATAAAAAAAAAAAAAAAGTTAAGGTCCGATAAATCAATTACCTATGAAGGATTCATAAGATTGTGAAGAGAAGTACTTAACATTTATATTCTATTTACTGTCACACATATGCTGCTCTACCACGACACAAGTAATATCTTTCCCATTATTTATGTTGTCACTATTTGGAAATAACTCTCAGAAAGATTTAGCAGCTTCTATTTAAAATATTAATTTTTAATTTTTCATTGATCTCGCTCTCCATTCAACGAGTGCTTTACACCAGGAAGCATGGCATCAGTCAACTGCCGCTTAAGTTTTTGAATTCGCTTAATAATAATAACATTATCTGACCCTACTCTTCTCTCTTAGATTAATTTTTAACCTTAACAAGTTCTACATTTTTTTTTAATAAAGCATACAACGATATTAAATACCCTAGATACAACATCACTAACAAAATCGTGGCCGAAACCTTTCCAAAAGGTACATTTGACGATCCACGGAGCTCCGTAAGATGATCGCGTAGTCAAAAACAATATAAGGCATTTATAAACATTGAAAGTCAACTTTAATGCATACTGTATAAGGTCTTAATTAAAACGCATTTGTCAAAGAGTTATGACAGTTCAAGCACTTCTTGATTGGGGCACATTATGAGCGCACGTGGTGTATATAGTGTAAATACCCTAGATACACATGCATTATCGTTGAAAGCATACCTTAATTATTTCAATATAAGACGCTTGTATCCTTCACTTATTTAAGCCCAATCATTTATCCTTCATTTATCTAAGATAACGCGTTGCCCACAGATATGCAAGACTTCGGCACGTTATCGAGCAAGACTGTGACAGAAGTGTTGATGTTAGAGATGAAGATGGCGCCGACTGCCAAGACCTACCTCGTGTCGGGCTACCCGCGCTCCATGCGGGACGTGGCCGAGTACTCCGATAAGGTATACCAACATCCCGCCAAGGGGGGCCCCCCTTAAGGGGCATGCCAACGAACGGACCTCACACCTAGCCCCTCGCAAGTCTTACGGGTGCGAAAGGAGTAGCCGTTAAGCAATCCGCGCAGCTTACAAGCGCTAACGGCATACTATCCGCTAAAAACCCCTGCAAATACCCTCTACACTGTTAAGTGCGGAACCGCGAGATCCCCGTTGTGGGACTTCACCGCCTCTTCGCGCCCAACAGCCCCCGACCCAGCCGGGGCTCTACGGCATGGATCACCCGGGATATTTCGGGTGATCCCGCAGATGTGCGCAGGACTGCCCGCGCTGGTAGAATCTGTAAACGGGGACCCCGCGGCTTCGCATTAAGCAGTGTAGAAGGTATTCGCAGGACTTTTTTAGCGGATATTATGCCGTAAAGCGCCCGTAAGAGTTGCGAGGTCCTCGGTGGGCAGCCACTGGGGGGTCCGTAAGACTTGCGGGAGCCAGGTTTGGGGTCCGTTCGGCGGTGTGTCTCTTAAAGGCGCCGTCGTCTGTAGACAGCATTTTTTACCTACGTTAAAAAAAAAGGACTGCCCTTGCTAGGAGCGAAGTGCGCGGCCTATTGCCCACCGCACCGCACCCTGTCCGCATAGACAAGGAAGCCTGCGCAAATTCATTTGTATGTGGTTTTGCTCAAGAAGATTGCCGCCACCTAGTTATATAAGTACTGTTTACGAAAACTCCTTGATCATAAACACATCCTTTAAACAGGGTGACGCAAAAGTCTCAGATGCAAAAGTAGGCAAAAGTAATCACTCTGTCTAGGAAGATGTTTTAATTATTGAAAGATTCTCAGTGATTGATATAGTCTTGAGCATAGATAGAAAGGGATGTCGCTATATATAGCACATCGCGGTATCCCTTTCTAACTGTACTCAAGTAAAGATCAACACTTAGTTGTCATTCTGTAATACGGGCTTAAGTCTATGATATTTGACATTTGTGAACTAGACAAGTGCTTCTATCTAGCGGGGTCACTCGAGCTTGACTTAAAATAGTAGTCGTCAAAATACAAAGGGCCCTTATGGAAAGACAAAACTTTCTCGTTGAATTTCTTGTTCTATTAAAGATACGTTAGAATTAATATGTGAATCGAGGGGTACATTGGGACAAGCTACGATGAGTATTATTTTCAAGCACTCCGAGTGTAAAACCGACGAGGTCCCTGCTGGATGAATGAGGCAATTTATCGTAATTTCGGTTGAGGTACATTGAACAAGCAAAGTATTTCCACCATTATTTTAAGTCTAGTTCGAGTGGCCCCGCTAGATAGATAGATACACATGAACTAGAGGGATGCAAAATACAAACAGACAAGCAATGGAACACGATACTCCACAGAAGCGTGAACATGGTGTGGTTTCAACAAGACGATACAACCGCCCATATAGCGCTATTTTATTTTGGCGATTTAACTGGTCTAGACTTCTTAAGTCTCTATGGGGCTACTAAAAACATCGGGATTATACCAATAAACCTCAGACAATCGCAGCCCTTAAAGAGTCACTCGACAAAGAATGCGAACAGTTATCAACGGACATCTTTCTGAAATCATGGAAAATGCTTTAGAAGTGGCACAAAATATGTGTATTAACACTGGCGGATATCAATAAAGTCCCGAATAAAAATTCCCATCACTCAATTTTTTTTTTAGTAAAATAGTCAAACTAAACAAAATAATATGATTGATTTTGCGCCAACTTTTATAAGATTATAATAAAAGTTGTTGCAAATTCAATCATCCAATGGTGATTAAATCTTTGGGGAGGATAGGAAAATATTTCTTTTTTCGTCTGTAATAGTAAAAATTGTAAAATATCCTCCAACTCATAAAATAGTATTGAAAAATAGAATTGATGTCGTTATTGCTGGGTCCGGGTGGTAGGGCTTTTAAAGTATTTTCTTCCTCTCCAATAATTTGCTAAAGTTCATCTTCCTCGGAAAATATCCCTGAACTTTTTTTATCTAAATATCACTCGTGCCGCACCGTTGCGTACTTTGACCCAATCTACTGTCCCGTAAAGCACTTACCGACAGAAACAAAACACCATCAAAAGGTAAAGTACTGTGTTCTTATAAAAGAATGCTGAAAAATAGAATTTAAGTTTGCTGAACTGGGCCTGGGTAAAATGTATGTACAGTCTTAGAACGCAAAGCCACGACACTGGTTTTCAACTTGACTCTAGTTAAAAACATGACATGATAGTTTGTGATTTCCATTTTGTCATAACAGCTCTGCTCCTCTTAATAATATTCTGGCATACGTACCTATTTCTAGTGCATTAGCCAGATATCTTATTATCACATAAGGAGATGGTGTATTGGTGTCATTGGCTATGCTATTTTAAATATTTTAGTTCTCTGCGTGGTGATCCAAGAGAAACAGCGTAATATTATTTATGATATACTTAATAAAGGCCTTAGGCCTCCATTATTATGCGGTCGAAGTACGGTCATTCAATAGATTTTTTTCTTTTTCTATCAGGTAGATAAAAGAAACTATTGGACACGTATTTTTTCACACAAGCAAAACTTTACCTAGATATAAATTTGATTTGAAATGTCGCATGACGACACGTCTTCGTACAATTTTTACTTAGAAGTGACGTCACGAGTCCCAACTCGCAAACTTTGACGCGCTTATTCTTTGTAGTTTTTTGGTTGATTGGCAAAAGAAAAAATAAATGTACTTATTTTTTTTAATAATTATCTGACGGATCCAATAGAATATTGTTGGATTTTCTCCGTCATCGTCACCATCAAATTTCTTATGAGAGGACTCTTCTATGGCACACTTTATTCAACTTTACCCGTCCCCAGAGACTTGAACTGTGGTATTAGATCCACATGCCTGCCCCTATTAATCCCATTAAGGTTCAACCTTTCTCGTGGCGATATAGAATTATTTGCTGTTGCAAACTGGCCTTACGTGTCCACGTAATTGTGTCGACAATTAAATAACTCCATCTAAGTAAAGGATAAATGCTAATGAAACATTATTATCTGTTATCGATATCTTCGTTAAAAGGCATAGTAATAGAAGTAACGTTCTTTGCTTAAATAAATTTGTTGGGTCAAACTGCTGATAGTGGCTTTTTCTTCGCGATTTCCTTAAAATAAGATACGTCAGATTGACAAACATTTTTAATTGGCGTCGCGTTAGTAACGACCACGTCTCCAGAAAGGAGAACCTGGGGAACGTAGCTCAAAAATACCAAAATAAGAACGAATAGGACTCATATCTGATTTTTTTGAATTCAGGAAAATATAAAATACAATTAAATATAATCAACCGATCGAGTCTATGCCTGAATTCCATCTCTAGAATCATCGATGTGAGACAGAAGGTCCTCACATTTGAATCTTTAAAATAATGACATTTACTTTTAACACAACTTCCAGCCGAAGGCATTATACATAAGCAGAGAGTTTATACAAACAAGCAGACCGTAACACTACGGGCGTTACAGTACCTGCTACCAGTAAATAAAAAGATTATTCTCCATTTAAAATAGTTCTAAGTGCTTGAAATCGGGATGTAAAAAAATCATTAATCATATAGACAGCCAGCAGCTAGGTATGTTACCTATTTATTTTGCAATGTTACCTATCATGATTCATCAGTAGATCGATTGATAGCGCCGATGCACGACGGCACTTTTAATTTGTCCACTAACGGTGTTTATCTGGTTCCACTCCAGCCACGTAATACCTGTGTGGACTGAAAGAGGAGTTTATAAACAGTACACATATTGCGATGTTAGACAACAATAAATCAAAATTGCATTAGATAGCTTTTAACCAATTGTTTATAGTCGGATTTATTAAATTACTCCACGCAGTAGAGTAGCGTGGTCCTAGCCACCTCCTTGGGAAGGCAGCCTTCCTGTATTTTCTTGACACAACGGTAGAAGGCGCTAACAGTTCTTTGTTTTGGTAGATCCAGACGATAAGCGGCGTGGTGCTGGTGAGCTGGCGCCAGCGCGTACTAGAGCGACAGATCGAGTACGGAGCACGCCTAGGGCACGTGGTGCTGAGTTTAGCACGAATGGAGCTTGCAAACTTCTACCGACGCGTCATGCCAGTAGCCGACTACTTCGACCAGAGCAACATGCTTGTAGCGGTAAGTGATGAGTAGTGTAAATGCGCTTAGAGTACGTGCTGCTGAGTTTAGCACGCATGGATCTCGCTAACTTCTACCATCGCGTCATGCCAGTAGCTAATTACTTCGACTCCAGCAACATGCTTGTTGCAGTAAGTATTGTGTAGTATAGATGCGCTTAGAGTACGTGGTGCCGAGTTTAGCACGAATGGAGCTTACAAACTTTTACCGGCGCGTCATGCCAGTAGCGACTTTTTTTACCAAAGCAACATTCTTGTAGCTGTTAGTGATGTGTACTATAGATTAGATGTAGAATAGATTAGAGCAAATGGTGCTGAGTTTATTACGAATGGAACTCGCCAACTTCTACCGTCGCGTCATACTAGTAGCCGATTTCTTTGATTACAGTGACATGCTTTGCGATAAGCGATGTGTAATGTAGATGCGCTTCGAGCACGTGGTGCTGAGTTTAACACGAACGGAGTTTGCAAACTTCTACCGGCACGTCATGCCAGTAGCCGACTACTATGACCAAAGCAACTTGCTTGTAACTGTAAGTGATGTGTAGTATAGATTAAACGTAGAATAAATTAGAGCAAATGGTGCTGACTTTGGCACGAATGGAGCTTGCAAACGCCTACCGTCGCGTCATACTAGTAGCCGATTACTTTGACTACAGTAACATGCTTGTTGCGATAAGCGATGTGTAATGTAGATGCGCTTCGAGCACTTGGTGCTGAGTTTAAAACGAACTGAGCTCGCAAACTTCTACCGTCGCGTCATACTAGTAGCCGATTTCTTCGACTACAGTGACATGCTTTGCGATAAACGATGTGTAATGTGGATGCGCTTCGAGCACGTGGTGCTGAGTTTAACACGAACAGACCTCGCAAACGTCTACCGGCGCGTCATGTATGTACTAATTTCGGCTTTTACTTTTATCTGAATATTAACCAAATGAAATTAATGAATATCGAACATTATAATTTTATAGTTGTGCTAATTACACCAGAGCTAGGAAGAGTTAGGCTTAGAACATCACAATCCTTGTCAACTAGCATTGTAAACAAACTTTCAAGATCAAAATATCTCATTAGCTGGCTTGTTAATAATTAAGTATATTTAGAATCTGGTACAAGTGGGCCTTAGTACAAATATTCTTTTAATCTTATTTCTCTAATTATCTTTATAGATTAGGTATATCTATGAAAACACGTAGGAGGTATATTGTTTTAAACTTTCATGGTCACGAACATTACAGCAATATAAGTTATTTACGGGATTGTTACCATGTACCTTGTTTTTAGCGAGTTTCTGATATTTCGGCACTGTTGCAAGCGCCATGATCACGGAGTAACAGCTTGCAACAGTGCCGAAAAGGCACCAAGGAAACAAGGTACATGGTAACAATCCCGTAAATAACTTATATTACTATAACGTAGGAGGTAATTTATTATTGAACGCCAGATCTTATCTTCCGTCGTCAATTGTATTTCAATAATACAATATCTATTTTAATTCAAAGCAAGTGTTCTGCGTCGGCTTCAATTTTATCAATAAGGGTAATGAAGATTTTTCTTATTAAATCTCTCGTACAAAACTTAGTTTTTATAATTATGAACACATTGAAAAACAAAGAAGCCAAACCGGCAGAGCCGTTCTTTTCTTACAGCATCGCATCGTGGTCAAGGATTTTTATTTATTAAATCAAACGGAAGATATATTATAAGCAACAGCAAGCCGTCTTTGTTTGAAGTCGGTTATAATACATTGCGTGTGAAATAAGTTCAAAAAGTTTAGCGATATCTTTTTGGTGCTTTGTCAAAATTAATTCGAAATTTCGTCACGTGATCAAGCGGCCCATTAGCTCAGTTGGTTAGAGCGTCGTGCTAATAACGCGAAGGTCGCGGGTTCGATCCCCTCATGGGCCATGACTTTTCTTTTCATTTTTAGTTTTATAAATATTATCGAAATATCAAGAAAAATATTTAAGTAGTGAAAACTTTTAAAGCAACAAACGAAATGGATAAGTCTTGTGTAACATAAAAATATTTTGTTACAAAACGTATTTTGCTATAGAAAATATTACGTATAAATATAGAAGGCCGAAAAATCAAAAAGTTTTCCGGCCAATTTTCCTCTTATTATTCAAATTCTTCTGTACATCTAGGTTTCATTCATGTCTTAAATCAATCCTCAATAGTTTCTCTACAAACTTATGTATATATGAGATGTGTAAAATAAAACCATTACTAAATATGATAAAACGCAAAATAGGAAAAATTTAAATATGCAAATAATTTTCTCAATATTTAATCATTATGTAATGGAAGGTGACTTCATGAATCATCTCTAAAAACAGTTTTCAACTTGACGACTCTGTAAATAATAATACAGGGATAGAAAACATCCTTTGCTGAGTTTCTTGCCGGTTCTTCGCAGTACAAGGTCTCCCGCCGTAGATTTACGAACCGATGGCGCCTAAACTGAATAAATGATTTTGATTATGATTATTAATCGTCCATATTATACATATTCTATCTGCACCATGTACGGAAAAAACGAGTGTTATCTTGTGTCATCCTCAATTTCGCCTTGGCAATCTGCCACATGTACATTTGGGATATAATAAGAATATCAAAATTGTAGTATACTAAATATAATTTTCGAACTGCTTGTGCAGGAGCAGCTTTTCTGAGTCAGGCGTTCAATGCTGACGAAACTTTAATTGTATGTACTGTAAAATAAACGAATATGACCAAATGTGATTAAGCCAGGCCTTCCCCCCTTCAATTAGGTACATTATAAGACACAATATGAAACCCTCTTAAAAAATTTCTCACCAATAATACATACAGTCTTTCTTTGAACAAAATACAAAAAGTAACCGGGATTCGAACCAAGGACTTTTGTAGAAGCAGAAGGCGAAAACGCTACAGTCGCGCCAACCGGTCATCTTCTATAAGGCGAAGAATGCATTCCCAAACAGTCTTTACCATTCGACCGGCGAATCCTTTGCCTTGCCTCTCACAATTTTCATCTAATCGAATATGAAGACGCGTCACAAAACGCCATTTGTCAATCGATGGTCATCAATAAACCAGAGGCCGCGCGCGATCGATCCGCGGTCAACGTACAATGTCAGCCGGACACTGAAACGCCACATTTCCCACGGACACTGGCAAAACTACAATGATTGATTCATTTTAAAATTAAGAAAAGCAAACGTGAGTTTAAAATAAACAGAGGTACACAACTGCACACGCTACGAAACAAATGACGGTTGACGTTAGAAAAAATTCTTACATTTTTTTTTTAAAACTGCCAAGTCCGTACCGTGCGACAAGGAAATTCGTTCCAAAAGAACTTTAATATTTTGGCGCCACCCGTGGTTCAAGGCTCCAAATGCGCTTACAGCATGTTTTTGTTTTTAATTTAAGAACTTTGGTGCAAGTTGGCCTTATCTCAGGGCCTTACAGTGGTGTCGATTCTGGCAAGATTATCTAAACTTATAACTAAATTTAACATCAATCTGTCCTTTTCATTCTGTATAGAGAATGACATACGGAGCCGAGACGTGGACACTGACGGTACGGCTGGTCCACTGGTTCAAAGTCGCTCAGAGCGCTATGAAAAGGGCTATGCTCGGCGTTTCGCTGAAGGATTACATCAGAAATGAGGTAATCCGACAGAGAACCAGAGTTATCGACATAACCCACCGGATTAGCAAGTTGAAGTGGCAGTGGGCTGGCCATATTTGTCGAAGAATCGATAACCGTTGGGGTAAACGAGTTCTGGAGTGGAGACCGCGTCTAGGCAAACGTAGTGTAGGACGTCCTCAGGCGCGATGGAGTGACGATTTGCGCAAGGTGGCTGGCAGGAGCTGGATGCGAGTAGCCCAAGATCGATCTGAGTGGCGTGCATTTGGAGAGGCCTATCTCCAGCAGTGGACTAAGATAGGCTATTGATGATGATGATGATGATGATGATAGAGAATGACAGGGATACACTGTTGTCAAATTTAAGTTTAGCTTTAGAGAATCATGCCTGAATCGACACCAGTGTTACATTTTTAGTTTTTAATCATTTAACTGCTAGAGGTTTAAATCTAAAGAATTTTTTACTAGCAAAAACTCCTTACAAAGTTCTTGAAAACCTCGTTCTTGAAGATTTAAACTTATGGTTAGACGTTATAATTATTACGACAAAATATTTCAAGATCCAATACCTAATAAAAAACAAATTATATAAGAAGAAGAAATAATATTATGTTCGTGTCAAAACAGCGCCGTGTATAAATACAACCTTTTAACTGAATAATTTATCACTAGCCTGTATCTTCACTGTCCTGCCAGTGATATTATTTTTAAGCCTTAAAAACATACTTATGTTAGGTATATAGTATATACTTAGTAGCTGTTAGAAATATTAATGCTTTATATAATAATTTACTAATTTCTAGACATACTTTGTTATCGTTTAAAAAGCCTGGTTAAAACATAATCGACGAGTAGGTTTGGTAATGATGTCCAGTAATATCTACTAACTATTATTTATATAAAATTTGTATCAGATTGGTGAGCTTTTTGAGCGTGTTAAGTATTTAGATATCCACTAGGTAAGAAATGATTTTAGGTCACAGAACACAAAAAGAAGACGTCTTTCTGGGGTTATATTTATTTATTAGCTGACGGCGCAGTTCGGACCGCGTACAATAATTTGAAAAAAAAAGAGTGAGATAGGAACACAGATTTTACTATAATTAATTATAGTGCAATTGTTTGGATAAAACTTCTGTAGATTGATCGTTAAGCAATGTAACTCTCATATTTACTGCCAGCTGAAAATTCATTACAAAGAGCAAATTGATTAATAAGCCGCGAAGCTATTAATAGATCAGACCCACCCACCCGACGAATATTTCATCAACACCATCAGCCTATTAATGTCCCCACTGCTGGGGTACAGGCCTGCCCTATGGATGGAATAGGGAGATTGGGCCATGACCCGCCGCGCGGGCCCAGTGCGGATTGGCGGGTGCTAACGACTGCAGATGCAGCCGGGACCAACGGCTCAACGTGCCTTCCGAAGCACGGAGGAACTCGAGATAGAAGATTTTTGGTCACCCATCTAATGACCGACCACTGCGAAAGTTGCTTAACACCAACGATCGCAGCCGAACGTGCTAACCACTTGAGCTATCGAGCTCCTCACGACGAATATTTATGTCATTGCATCTTGCTCATGTTCTTGACATTGTAATGTTTATTGTGTATTAAACTTATCCATTTAATAACTTTTATTATGACATTCGAATTCCAAATTGGCGAAACATGAACGGACATTTATAAAATAAAAATCTGAATTGTATTTTACCATGTTTCTTGTAAATAAACGATTTGATTTGATTTTGACGCTAGCAACGAAATGAAATGAAATAAGTAGTTATTGGCGTTTTGAAGAATTATTAAAAAAATATTATGCTTGGTAATTTATCGAGTACACCTTCTTAGTAGGTAGTATTCTAACTTGAAATACAGGCAGTAAAAAAAA